CATATATATATATAACTTGAGGAAGCCTCAAAGAACAGACACTCTGGCAAACTGTTTTGTTAATAAATTTTCCACTTTGTTGTGTGTGAGAGAGAGAGAGAGAGTTTTGTAACTAATAATATACTCTACCCAAGTTTCTTATACACTGAATAAGAAGCATTCCTTGTATTATTATTTTCGATCTTTCATAAGCCAGTGAGTAAACTTCAACTTATCCTGAAGAATAACATTCACTCACCAAAATACTTCTGTGAGAAGAGTCAAAACTATACACCCTCAACATTGTAGATATGGCACTGGTGCTAATATCTAGCATGTGTTTTCTTGCAGAAGAAAAAGTATTAAATGTATACTGGAAATTTTTCACTTTACTAAATTCTTATATTATTGGCTCCTATTAAAATAAATTATAATTTTAGAATTTGCTGTATCCCTTGAATAAACAGCTACTATGTAAGTAATTTTCTAATATATTTCCAATAATTTCCAGTATTTAATTTTAGTATTCACTATATGTAATCATTAGTATGAAAGAAAGTATTTGTTTAATAAATACTACCTTTGATACCATAGATTACAAAAATTATTTGTAATTGTTGATGTAAAGTTATAAAAGGCATGAAGCTGAATGAAAATATGTCTTTAGTAAGTTTACACTGCTAATTGCAACATAAATTTACAATATCAATTTGACACTTGTAACTTAACTCTTTTCTTGTTTACTGTTTCTATTGTTAAACACTTATTAAAATATAAACATTAATGATATTGTTTCATTCAAAGGGAAAAAATATCTACTTATGTTTCAGGTGAAAAAAAGACCAATATATTGAAAAGTGAATAAATAAAACATAAGCATGATCAAAGTTATTAAATATTAAATTAGAATGGATATTGTATGAATATAGCCCCAAATAGTTTCACTGGCCATGAGATAAATACATGTTGCACTAGAATGGTGTGATAATACAAACACAAGGTAATTTGTGACAGCCATACAGAATTAAGAAGGTATTAAATTGCATAGAATTATATACATGTTAAACAGGTTTATAATTTCAAAACAGTTCTTTTATTATGCTAGAGTAAAACCCCTCCTTCTGCCCCTGCCATGCTACCAATAATTCTTTAGCAGGAGCATTAAATTAAAAGTCCAAAGTTTACAGCCAAAGCCTCATACACTTTTTTTTTTTTTTATTAGTATCAGGTAATTTTAGCTGATCTGGTCGTGCTTAGCAAATTCTTAAGGTTCAGCTTTATTTCATGCTTGAAATATAATGAGAAAAATGTAAGTTATTTTTCAGAAATTGAAGGTCAGGGACTAATATTAAGTCTTAAAGAATTTGAGCTCCATTTTCTGCTTAAAATATGTTTAATTTGGGAGTTAATCTAAGATTAGTTATGCTGATAAGTTTCATGCAAAAAATTAATGATGAACTTCTGGTCACTTAGTATTCAGGTTTATGGAGGTGGGGTCAATTAAAAAAATGTTTGCATAATATGTAGGTAATTCTGTTATTTATAATGCTTCAAACAGGTCTGGAAGACACAGATTGAAATCTGATATCACTTTTTATTATTAATATTATAAGCACTTGGACATGTATGGGAGACCCAGAGCACTTACTCCTGCTTCCTGATGCCATAAAGTTTCAGATGTACATTGATCCTTACTAGTTTATACAGCAAATATGATTAAAAAGAAAAAAAAAAATGTTAATTTCATGTTCATTAAGTTAAAGTTATGAAAACCAGAGCACTTTAGTGTGTGCACACACAGACACACAAAAAGAAAAGTTCTCAGTCTGACCAAGGAGTACTTTCAAGAAGTATAAGGAAAGTGGGTCAGACCAAAACCTTTTCAAACACTTCTTCATATAAAAATATGACAAGTTTAATTTTTATGTATTTGGCAACATATCCCTAATGGTTTTGTTATATATATATATACACACACTTCCATCCCATTGGAAATATGGAATAATATTAATATATTTTAAAAATTTTATTTAAAAACCTGTTGATTACCATACCATTATCATTGTATCAAAATAATTATTGCTAATAATACCACCTACTTTTGCTCAAACTAAGAAAAAAAGTTTTGAATGAATCAAAGATATTTTAAACAATTTTTTTTTTTTTTTTTTTTTAGAAGAATTGTCTTGATATAGGCCTAAATCTTGAATTCATTCAATAAATTTAGACAAAATCAACGTCGATAGATTATGGGCCGTATTTTCTGTAAGATTAAGAAGAAGAATAGTTGGAGGTTGGGGAGAGAAAAAAAAGGATGGAATACCCATGACTCATTTGTTTGAATCAGTGGTCTCCTGATAGCCCCCCCCCTTAGATTACAATTACAAATTTTATCTATCTCAGTCGAATATACAGGGTAGTCCTAAAGTCTTGTCAAACTAACCCTCTCTTTCAAACTGTAAAGAGCTCATGTCAGCCATCTGAAATAGAAAATTATATTATCTGGGGGCGACAACACTTTCGGACCACCTTTTGTGTGTGTGTGTGTGTGTGTGTATATATATATATATATATATATATATATATACCAACCACCAAATATTCCTTGCCAAATTTTAAGCACATGTTAAAATTGGGAAATATAGTAATCGAATAATTTTTATTTTCATATAAATAAAATTGAAATGAAACCACAGCGATTATTTCCCTTACACTTTTCAATTGGAGAAAAAAAAATCTGACAAAGGCTGACAGGAAAAAGAATTTTTTTTTTTTTAACCAGTATCTTAATTTAAAAATTAAAAATCCAAATTCAGTTAGATATTTGTCGTTTAAGTAACCAATGATTAAGTCATTCACCATATGATTATTTATTTTAAAGTTTTTTTTGTTTTTTTTTACTAATAATAACAATTTTTTTTTACGTTCAATCAGAAGTTACAGACTTTGAGGCAATGAATAATGAAAACAAAAATTGTGGGTTTATTTCAAAAATAAATATCAGTCTTTTTAGGGGAGTTAAAATATCAGATTTTCAATAAACTTATTTTTGCATGTGTTAAAGATTAAGGTAAAAATAAATTCCAGCCTTAAAGTTAGGGGGGTACATACAGTACTACTACACAAACACTGCTGACACTGACAGTATCCAAACGTTTTTTTTTTCATATCTCTTCTCACCAGATTGCTAGGTATATTGATTCATTTGTTGATTTTGAAAATTACCCTCGTATAACAAAAAAAAAAAAAAAAAGGAAAAGACATACACCTTTGGAGTTTTGAATATAGATCCCCGTCCCTATAAATTGCTGTTAAAATCCAGTTAATAAGCAAAATACTCAATGCATCTTAAAATTGGTATTTTTTTTTATTTTTCATTAAAAACAGATTAGCTTACAATTTCGGTGCTTAAAATTTTTTTTAACAAAATAAAAAGTTATTCTTGTTTTTCTAGTTTTAAGTGAGCAGAAGTACGGGGGGGGGCATAAAATTAAAGAAACATCGAGTTTACGTTCCCTCACTAAATATACCTACTCATGAATGGTAACTTAACTCCCTCAAGTCACCCCTAAATAAATCCATTTTGTTATTAAGAGAAAAAAAATTCCCCCATCAAGAAGTTGAAGTAAATTGTTATGAACTTGAGAGACAGACAGACACACAATCATTTTTTTTAAAAGATCCTTTTATTTTCTTAACAGTAACACTAACAGATCGCGCCCAGCGAACTGTATGTGTCTGAGAGGTCAAAAATTTGGGGAATTAAAAAAAAAAATAATCCAATAACTAATTAAAATTTATAGAGCTAGGAGATCAATCAACAAAAACAAACAAACAGTACGTATCACTTCCATCGTTGACTATCGAACTTATCAGTTATGAAAAAAATTATCCGAAGCTAAATTCATTAATAATTCAGTAAAAGTATTATTATATAACACTAACAGTAACACTAACAGGCTAGCGGGTTTTTTATTCTTCAGGTTTGATTTTTTTGTTACAAACTTAAAAACTTATGTCTGTTTTTTGTTTAATTTTGTGGTTTTGTTAATTTGTCGGCGAAAAAGTCTAGTTTTTAAAAAAAAAAAAAAAAAAAAAAAGAAAAGAAAAAAAGCAAATTAAAAAAAAAAAAATTATTATTTTTAGCTAAAGTTAATTAAGAATTATTTTCCTTGTTTTTATTAACAAGGATCCAGCCGTTGTATCTTCAGGTGTTTTTTTTACTGTCAATCGGTTGATTGGATGATAAGTTTTACTTTTAAAACTTAATTTCCATATCAAACTTAGTCACAAAGATTAACCAACACATGAACAAAGAAAGACCTATCTTTTGCTGGCAAAGAAAGAGACAAACTTGTGACTGGGTGTCAAAAATAGAGCGATAATGAGGAAAAGATTGAAGAAAATTAGGGAAACAAGAAGTGTTACTGACACAAAAAAGAAATACAATTGAACCGACTGACGAAGCAATAATTACTAAAAAGAAAACATTTTATTTTACTCAGGTAACTTTCAAAAGCAATTCTTACAAAAACCTACGTGACCAAGCTAACATTACCTGGAATGCCCAGATCAACAGGGTCACTTAGCGATAGGAAAAATTTGATTTGACTATGTTCATTCAGGCGTAAAATTTAAAAAAAAAAAAAAAAAAGAAGCGAAGCAGGAGTAAGAAAATGTCTCAGAGAAAACAATTCTTGAATCTTTAAGTTTTTAATTTCATTTATGCAAAAAAAAAAAAAAAAAAAAAATTCAAAACAAAGTAGAAATTCAAAATAAAAATAAGGTGGGGGAAAATCTCAGATTTACCACGATTAGCTATCAATAGGATGAAATTATAATTTCGGAAAATAATCATTAACATTTTTTAAATTAAGAGTAAAACAAAAGTAAAAAAAAACCGTAGTGTTATCACACACACACACACACACACACAACTTAGTGTTTTTTTTTGTTTTTGTTTTTAATGAAATATTGAACAGAATGATATCGTGGAAAGAAGAAAGAATAATAAGACTTACTATATTTTTCGTATATTCTGTTTGGTTGTACAAGATCCAGGAATCCTTTTGTCATTTGAAAGAGAAAATCCATTCCCTTTTCCATGGATTCTGCCTCGCTATTTCCTGAACTTGTTGTGTTGGCCGCATGACAAGTATCCAAATGTGAAAGGGCTAAAACAGCTCCAATTAATAGAATAATGATACTTGGGGACTTTTTAGTAAGTAATGTAACCATGATTATATGAATCCAAATTAGAAATAACCGCTTGGAAATTAAACAGCTGTGAAGATGGCACTAAGAATGAGAAACCTGTAAAATAAAAAAATAAAAAAAAAACAATTAAATAAAATTCGAACACTTACTTTTTAACAAAACACAAATTCGAATAAGTGAAAAAAATACACTGTAAAATAATATAGTTACTTTTTAAGTCGGGCTTAAGCAGTGAAGTTTGTTTTATTTTTTTCCTTAGGTTTATGATGTGTTGGTAAGTTTTTTCCCTGAGGGTTTACACTTTTTATGGCCACTACAGTCCGACGTATGTCAGGTAAATGAAAGCTGTTTTTCTTTTTTCGAGCAAAGTGAGGTCAGTTTAAAAATAAAAAGAAAAAAAAAACTGTGTGTAAAGTTGAAATCTCTATGAATAAAAAAAGAAATACCAACCCCGCCCAACAGGAAAGTTTTCAATTGAGCTGGGACGGGAATCTATGTAGGAGGTGGTGAAGGAAAAGCAGTCGGTTGGTGCTATGAACAAGTGACGTGTGACAATTATTAAAAAAAAAAAAAAAAAATAATATATAGAAGCAGGATTGTCACTTGTCCCACATGTGTGTATGTATGTTTACAGTACACAAATATTTACACAACGGTTGATGTAAAGATCGTGAAATATGTCATTTATTGTTTAAAAAGGATGGACTTTGTAAAGAAAGACTAAAAATCCAAGTCAACCAGCTACGTCAAGCTGTGTTAATTAAGGTAACCTAGGTCGTCTTAAGAAAAGTAATAATAATACTCTACTGTAATACACTAATATTCAAATTCATTTATTTGTTCTTTATATATGCACATATACACACACGCACTTTGCAAAATTAAAGCATAAATCTGCATGTCTTTTCATACTTCGAGAAAAGAATTGAAAGAGCGATATAACATTTTTAAATTCACCGATAAAAAAATTCAAACTTGAGATGTGGTTGAGTTTTCAATTCCAAAGCAAATATTGCCGTTTGTAAGTGGTTAAATAAAATAAAAAAAGTTAAAATGAAATGAAAGTAATACGAAAAAACTGTTAGTTAAAACTGTTTATTGAACAGTCAAAGTACGGTTACTTACGAAGAAACTAAAAACTCCTTCCCAATGTACTTTTTTTTTTTTTTTAAACTACTAGTTAACTCTGTAACAAACTAGTTGTGTACATAAAAAAAAAAAATATTATTTTCAATTAAGTGTCTTGTTTTACAAAATGAAAATATTTTGTTTTTGTTTTTTTAAGAATATTCTTTGATGAATAAATAAATACACATCAAAACACTACAACACAATGGGAAGTAGAAACTCTCCGAGACAAAGGATTAAAGAAAAAAAACCCAAAAAAAAACTATTATGATTATTTAAAAAAAAAAAAAAAAAAAAACCCAAAACAATCAAAGCTTCAAGCATTACAAAACAAATTTTGTATAACTTCCTCCTTTATTTATTTTTTTTTTTTTTATACGGGGGTCGGGTATACGATCAGATTGTAAGGGAAGTGTAGTTATAACAGATCGTAGTTGATTTTTTTTTTTTTTTTAGCCTTCGAATTTGGCATCCAGTCTCGTCTGATCCTAGGGATTGCACTGAACAAAATTTTTTTCCTTAGGTTTATGATGTGGAGGGTTAGAGATTCTTGTGACACCGTGATATTGGTCGCGAAGGGAACTTAGGATTTTGTTTCCTTGCTCACAGATATGTTCGTACCCCAAACATTAAAAACTAACCATGTGTCCGATCGTACTTTGAGGCAAGTAAGAATCCGCTCAAAGCGTAGTATCTGAGAAAAAGCATTTTAAGCGTTACACAGGAAGTCTCAATACATCGTTAAAAAAAAGAGCAAACCGTGATGAAAAAAGGCCCCAAACTTGATAAACAATGTTTGTTAAAAGACCAATATTTTAAAAATTTTTTTTTTTAATCCTTCCTAGCAAGTCTAAAATTTTAGTTAAAAATCTTTTTTCTTTTTGAGTCAGCAAAATTGACATAATAAAATCGATCATGTCAGCCATTTTTGACAACTTTGTAAGCAAAAGTGAAATTCTCCATTTAAAAAAAATTGTAAAATTCAATTATAATTTTTTTCAAAAGTCGTTTTAGGAAAATTAGAAAATTTAAAGTTTACTTAATGTAACTGGAAACAAACATTACTTAATTTTTAGAAGAAAAATTTAGTTAAAAATAGGAGAAGCGTGTCTAACCATGGTGATTGGTTTTGGAGGTGTGAATTAACGTTTCGGTTTACGTCAAGGTATCGACAATTTATCGGACGGAAAGACAGAAGTGGCAGTATTTTCGAATTTTAAGTGAACCAGCTTATTTAAACTATAAAGTAATTTTTAAAAATTAAATACTTTCATTTCTGAACCGTGCACCCAGAGTTTGAGAAAACGTTTTTAATACATTTTTTTGCATATTAAAAAATATTTTAAAAATGCTATTGTGTCGCAGATGGTAATAAGCTTTCAAATTTATGATCTGTAAAATAGATCTTTTTAATAACAGCATTTCCAAAACACAGATTCAAAGTTAATTTTAAAATATTTAACAAAAAATTAGAAAAAAAGAAAACAATACTTGTAAAAATTCGCTTTTCATCGGAAAAATATTTTGGCTTCAGACAATAGTGTCCTTATGCCATTAAAAGCTTTTTTAATTAAAAATATCTTAGTTTTATTGGGGTTTTTTTTGTATTCTACAATTCAGGGCTGGATTTTAGGTTAACATCGGGTCGAAATTTACTAAAAAAAATTGATGATTAAAATTCTTCAAAGTCTTCTGTTTTTAACTAATATAATCACAGAATTACACAAAAGTCGAATTTTTCAAGTTCTCATAAAATTAAGTAAAGGGGGGGGTAACAGATTTAAAATAAATTACTGTGACTTTCTAAAAAACAAACATTTCAAAAATAAATTAATTCATTTGTGAATAAGTTCTGAAAGTTTCACAAGTATTCGATTTTTGCAATAATTTCCAAATTAATGTTTTTCAATTGAAAAAGGCGCTAAGAAACTTATGGTAAATATTACGTGACTGCTGACGTAAAAAAAAAAGAAAAAGATTTTTAACCAAAATTTCGAACATACTAGAAAATATTAAAAAAATAATTAAAAAATACTTAGGTCTTTCCTCTTACTTAGTAATAACAAACGTTTGACAATAAAACTTTATTTTTATTAGGTTTGGGGCCTTTTTTTTCATTATGCTATGCTGTTTTTTTTTTTGGTGAATTATTGAATATACCTACTGTTGCAAGTTTATATCCAACCCGGAGTATAGGGTACATAATTCTCAGCAAGTTATTTTCAGGATTTGAACAAGCACGGTCTATACTTTTTATATCTTTTTTTAGTACGATCATTGAGTCTCGTTTGGATGAATGGTCAGTTTTTATAATTTTTGCATTTAATAACTTTTTTTTTTTTTTAACTTCACGCAGAAGTTAAGCAATTTTTGCCTGATTTGTACCAACTGTGTGACTAGATTAGATTACTTGATAATATTGACTAAAGAAAGATATTTTTTTCTGATTGAGTTTTTTTTTTCAAAATTTTATATAGCATATTTCTTTTAATTTTTTTTTTCAAATGTAACAAAAATTGAATAAAAAACATGAAACTAATTCGTTGTTGAAATAAACATGAAATGACTTCCCCGGGGTAATTCTATTTTTACCAAAATACCGTTTAGGTACCACCAAAACGGATACTTTTTTTCCGCAATGAAAGTAAAAAATATCGACACCTGTTTTAAAATGTTTGCCAAAAATCAAGGAATTATACGATTCAAACGAAATTTTCAAGACTAAGTGAATGAATATTTTACAGGTTATTTCATTTAAAAAAAAAAAAAAAATCTGGGGAAATATTGAGGTGGGGAGCATGTTTCACACACCCTCACCAACAGCATTTTCGATATCGCGTGTGTACTTTTTAATTTGGGAGGTGTTCATCCGAATTTTTTGCAGTTGTTATATAAAAAGAAATTATGCAATGAACATATGGAAAATTTGGCCCGCATGTTACCAAAAACAATTCAATAAAACTCAAATTATAATTTCTGGCAAAAATCAAACAATTGTCGGATTTTAATGAAACTTTCAAGATTTATTCATAAATGAATTAAGTTATTTTAGAAGACAGACTTTTTTTTTTTTTTTTTTAGAAAATCTTGGTGTTTCTATCAGTTAAGTCCTTGAAGAATTTAAATCATTTTTTTAATAACCGGATCACCAGGCACAGATCTCCTTTGAATCGTAGAACAAAAAAATGAAATAAAACTATTTAACTAGGAAAGCTTTTAAATTGCTTTTATGGATAGGATATATTATGGACAGTATTGTCTAAAGAAAAAAAAATCATGAAAAATGAAGTTTTACAAAGATTTTTCTAAATTTTATTTCGAATAATTTATAAAGTTTTCTTTTAAATCTTTTAAAATTCCATATTAATTTATAGCGGTTAGGTCATATTGTTAGGTAATCATAAATGAAAAAGCTTACTACAATTCAGCGACTTCCAGTATTTTAAAAAGAATTTTTGTGTGCGTATCCATACACGGCATTATCAGGAGAAAAGAGCGGTAACTAACGGTAAATTTGAAATTTATTGGTAATTTTCTAACATTTCCTCAACAAACGTCTTCGTAAGTAAGACTATAAAGCCAAAATACCTAAAATTCAATAAAATATTACGCTACTTAGAGGCATGACACGTGTAACTAGAACAATCTACCCTGGCGGATGAAATAAAGAGTTCTGTCCGAAATTCCAATCACCTGAAGAAGGCGTACAATGGTCGAAATTTCGTGGATATGGCAACAAAAATAAAGACAACAGTCTGAACAATGTAAATAGTTTAAATAAATATTTTCCTAAATTTTTAAGATTACTCGACAGTTAAAAAAATATAAAAATGGCGTTTACATTATATCCATCAAGTAATTGTGACATTGTCTCCCTTCGAAAAAAAAAAAAAAAAATCCAAACAAGTCTACTGAGAGAGTTGTCAACAGGTCATAAAAACACCCACCTCCGTGTTAAAAATGTATTTTAAACTATGAATACTTTTTCAAGTCAGCTTAAACTTTAAATGAACTAATTTTCCTCAAATAAAATTTCAGAAAAGTATCTTTTATTTTTGAAAGATTTTTTTAATAAAGATACTTACGTTGATAGATTTGTAAATGGTTAAAATCAGCGATGTTTAGATTTTCAAAAATAAATAGATTATTCCAATCAATTTAAATTCATTTTGAAATCCAGCAAGGTATTTTGCTCACTGGAAATATAAATTTAATCTATTAGCTTGAAATTAATACTAAAAAGCTTCAAGGAAATTTTTCATTTCAAACCTTAGCTATCGCTTTTCTTTGGAGGTGTTATATATATATATATATATATATATATATATATATATATATATATTTATATAGCAATCCTTCCTTTATGCATGTTTCATTAAAAACGACAGACAAGGTATTACGGTTAAGCTTTTTATTTAATTTTTCTTGTGTTCTAACAGGAGCTTTCTTTTCTGGACAAAGGGTGTGTAAGAACTGTCCGAATGTTTTATATTTCCAAGCGCTTTCGGCTATACCTTTAGCCATTATCAAGGATGATTCGATTTTTCAGCTTAATTGAGTGTGTGCGTTCTGTACATGTCTTAGTGTGTGGTAGGGATGTTTTTAATTTCCGAATACGGTTAGCACATTGTGGCTTTCTTCGTAGTTAATATTGTTAAGAGTTGGACTTTTCTTTTTTATTATTAAAGCTTCCATTATTTTTAGTCTTTTTTTGCAGGTGGACGCAGTTAATATATTTGTGTTTTCTACTAGTATGTTCCTAATGGAGTCGGGTAAATTTGTGTGTGTGTTTAAATGGGTTCTAATGGAGCTGTGAT